TTTCCAAATTGATCTACGGATTCAATATAATTCCAATCAAATTCCCAGCATAATTTTTTAATCAAAAGCATATTCTAAAGCTTATATGGAAAAGTGAATAAATTAGAAAAGTCAAAACAATTTTTTTAATTTATTTGACACAGAGAGAGAGAGAGAGAGAGATCACAAGTAGGCAGAGAGGCAGGCAGAGAGAGGGGGAAGCAGGTTCACCGCTGAGCAGAGAGCCCAATGCAGGGCTCGATCCAGGACCCTGAGATCATGACCGAAGCTGAAAGCAGAGGCTTAACCCACTGAGCCACCCAGGCACCCCCAATTTTTTAAATAATAAAGTTGTGGGGCTCATACTACTTGATTTCAAGAATTATTATACAGCTATAAGAATCAAGACAGTGTGATACTGAAGAATACAAATATAGATTAATGGAAAAATACAGAGTCTAGCAATAGACCACACATATATAGGTAATGTATATCTGACAAAGATACCAAAGCACATAATGGAAAAAGGGTAGTAATTTCTACCAAATGAGGTAGGAAAAGATTGAACATGGACATTGAGGGTGGGAGGGAAACGCCTTACATCATATAAAAAAATTACCTCAAAATGGATCAAAATGGATACCAAAATGGATAGCCCTAAATGTAAAATCTGTAACTCTAAAATTTCTAGAATCAAACAAGAAAAAATCTTTGTGATCCCAGGCTATATGAATATTTCTTAGATACGATAACAAAAGTACAATTTTTTAAAAAAATTGATGAGTTGGATTTTGAGTAATTAAGAATCTGTTTTTTGAGAGACACTGTTAAAAGAATGAAAAGACAAGCCACAAAACTAGAAGAAAATATTTGCAAATCATAGACCAATAGAAAAGACCACAGAAAAGTAACTCATACTCAGAATAAAAACGTAACTTCAAATCTCAAAAATTAAAAAGGCGATTCAAAGGAAGTGGAGATGCAACATGGGGGGTTAAGGGGGTAGGAGAAGAATAAATGAAACAAGATAGGTTCGGGAGGGAGACAAACCATAAGTGACTCTTAATCTCACAAAACAAACTGAGGGTTGCTGGGGGGAGGGGGGTTGGGAGAGGGGGGTGGGGTTATGGACATTGGGGACGGTATGTGCTATGGTGAGTGCTGTGAAGTGTGTAAACCTGGTGATTCACAGACCTGTACCCCTGGGGATAAAAATATATTATATGTTTATAAAAATTAAAAAAAAAAGATTCAATAAAAGTGGACAAAAGACTTGAAGACTTTACTAAAGAAACTACACAGATGATAAATAACTATGTGAAACGATGCTCAATGCCGTTAATTTTGAGGGAAATGCAAATTAAAATCAAAACAAGAGGTTAAAACCTATGAAAGGCCTGAGATTTTTACTTTACTTGCAGAGCAACAAGTTAGCCCGCTACTGTGTTATGGATGTTGGTGGAAGATGAAAGACTTCTGGTCAGAGACAAAGGACAGTTATTCCAGCACAACATACAACGTGAATACCACATTCACATCAGTATCCCACTGTCCATAGTTGGGGATGATACAGAGGCAGACACAGATAGATGTTGTGCATGCAGTGGGTTTATGGCACAGCCAAGGAACGCCAGGCTTGTAAAATCCCTTATCATTTGCAAGCAAATCTGCCTAAGCTTCACCCTGAAGAGACATTATCTTTATTAGACTGAGTGGCAAACACATCTTCTCTCTACTCTGAAGAGAGATGCTATCTCTATCTTCCAAGTTTCTTTGTCATACAAACATCCTTGAAAACACAGTCCAAAATAAAAGGCTATTTGTGGCTTTGCTCATAAGACATACAAAAATGCAAAAGACCAATGGAGAGTTATCTCCTGACATGAGCTTTCATTACACACCTATGAGAATGGCTTTAAAAAAAAAAATTTATTTAAAAAAAAAGCTTCTGATTTCCTTGATGTGTTTTACTATATCTCTACTTTCTATCTAATTGATCTCTGTTCTAATCTTGATTATTTCCCTTCTTGTATGTGATGCTGGCTTAATTTGTTGTTAATTCTCCAGTTCTCTAGGGTGTAAAGAGAGCTGGTAACAGTGTGGAGATTCCTTAAGAAATTGAAAATAGAGCTACCTTATGACCCTGCAATTGCACTACTGGGTATTTACCCCAAAGATACAGATGTAGTGAAAAGAAGGGCCATCTGTACCCCAATGTTTATAGCAGCAATGGCCACGGTCGCCAAACTGTGGAAAGAACCAAGATGCCCTTCAACGGATGAATGGATAAGGAAGATATGGTCCATATACACTATGGAGTATTATGCCTCTATCAGAAAGGATGAATACCCAACTTTTGTAGCAACATGGATGGGACTGGAAGAGATTATGCTGAGTGAAATAAGTAAAACAGAGAGAGTCAATTATCATATGGTTTCACTTACTTGTGGAGCATAAGGAATAACATGGAGGACATTGAGAGATGGAGAGGAGAAGTGAGTTGGGGGAAAATGGACGGGGAGACAAACCTTGAGAGCCTGTGGACTGTACTTTGAGAAACAAACTGAGGGTTTTGGAGGCGACGGGGGGTGAGGGGTTGGGTGGAGCCTGGTGGTATTACGGAGGGCACGTATTGCATGGAGCACTGGGTGTGGTGCATAAACAATGGATTTTGGAACATTAAAATAAATTTTAAAAAATTTATAATAACATTAATGCAAAGTCCTGATGAGGATATGAATGATCAAAAATCTCATACATTACTCTGAGGAATGCAAAATGGTTCTTCAGAAAACTTTTTTTTAATAAATTTATACCTATACCTCCCATATGACCCAGCAATCCCACTCCATGTATTTACTAGTTGAAGTGAAAACTAACATTTACACCGAAGCCTGTTTTGCAAATGTTTATAGCAGCTTTATTTACATTGCTAAAACACGGAAACAGCCCAAGTATTCCTCAATTGATGAACAGATCAACAAACTATGGTACATTCATGCCACGGAATACTACTCAGCAATTAAAAACAAAACAAAACAGTGAACTACTGAAACACACAGCAACACGGATAAATCTTAAATGCATTACTGTAAGTGCATTATAAAAGAAGCCAGACTCAAAAGGCTACCATCTGCGTATTTCCATTTATACAGCATTCCGGAAAAGACAAAATGATAGAGAGAAAATATACCAGCAATTGCCAGGAGCTGGAGGTAGAGAAGAGAAATGAGTACAAAGGGACCTGGGGGAGTTTTTTGAGGTGATGGAACTATTTATACCTCGATCGTGGCAGTGGTTACAAGACTGTGTGTTAAAACTCACAGAACTATATACTAACGGGAATGAATTTTAACACACGTAAATTATACCTTGAAAATGGGGGAGAAAAAAAAAGAAAGAATATATAAAAATTCTAGAATAAGACACCCTGAGCTGTGCCTTTTTCTAAATATGGAACTTGGGAATATTCTCAAACATTCTAAGCATCAGTCTTCTCAACTGTGAGGTGAGAAGAATAGTAGTATCTGCCTCTTAGAGTTGTTAGCTTTCTTTGTTGCTCTTTGTCATTAATTATTATTTGGTGTACTGCTATATATCTAACATTGTGCTTGATGTTAAGGATACAAAAATTAATCTATGGTATGGCCCCTGACTTCCAAGAGGCTACAATCTAGTGAATAAACTTCCCCTGAATAAACAAATGAACACAGTTGTTTTACTGTCACTGGATTAGCACAATTTAAAAAATTTTAAAAACCCAGTATTAAGCAAATATTAAACCAATTTCATGTTACTAATTTTAGATATAGTTCAACTTTAGCAAGAATTTTCTAAAATAGGAATAAAAATTTCAAGTCAAATCTAAAAAATCCTATTGGTTGCCCAGATATTTCTAGAATTATCTCTACAGATAATTTGTAAAGACTTGAAATTGCATGTATTTATAAGTTTATCAGATTCAGAAAGAATATCAGCCTACCCTGTTTTTACCAATTTATTCTAGCATTTCAACATTAATTTAAATAAGAGTACCAAGAAAGTACTATAAAAAGAAAATGAAATCATGTTTCCTCATTTTCTAAGGCTTCATGTATCTGGATGAAATGTTTCCCTAAAAAGATAAAGCTAAGAGGAATCACTGAAAATGGATGAAGAGGCTGTGAAGTATCCCAGAAAAGTCTGCTCCCTCCAAAAAGAAAAGAATTAATGGCTTCAACTTTGTCACATAAAAGATCCAATAATCTTGGTGAAAGACACATTACAACCACACATCACATACACACATTCAGCACCTTTCTTGGTGTATCAGCACCTGTGTCCCCTCAACCACATTCAATGTCCTTGGTTCAGGCTTGAGCATTAGAATCCTAAAAAATTCATGCCAGGACATACTACAGCTACTTTTACAGAGTTGATTACATTTTTACTATATTCAAGATATCTGACAGGATAAAGCTCTAAAGACAGTTTGTTTTAAATGTGTCCTTTCCACTCAAGGCTTAAAGAAAATCAAGCTATTCTTATTTCAAAGATTTCCTATCTACTGTCATCTCACATCACGTCTCAGTGAAACACTGTGAAAAGTGTTCTTGGAGTGTTATCAACTAAAAATTTTGCAACAAGTATGGCTTTTTGCACAGGATTTCACACTGAATAATATAGTAACATCTAGAGACTCCTAACCTAGTGAAAAAAAGAGAACATTTTAAAAGATATTTTAAAAAGCATGACATATGCACAAGGGCTTCTCAAACAGAACATACAGACTTGTTTTCACCATTTTACTTGCTCTGAACAATTGTTCTGAAATATGGGGCCCACAAATGTGGATCTCCCAAAGTTTTGTATGTTGAAAATATTCCTAGGGAGTACATCTCTCAATAAGAAGCTAGTATGTGGAAAGGTATAAGGAGAGAAAAAAAATAATAAACTTCATATGATAACTAAAATAAAAAAATATATAATTAATAGAAATGTCCCTTGGAAGAACCCAGAGAAATGATCACTGGCTACCTTACTTTGCTTTTTTCCATTAACATTTTCTAAAATACCAGAGAACTGATTGTCAAAGCTGTGTTGAAGGTCACTCCTTTGCTTTTCCAGGTGATGTTCTTCCTCAGCAATAGAAGAAAGCACATGTGGTAGCTTTTGGTCATCAAGGGTCTGATTGGGCCACTGGGACATTATGGAACATGAGTCCTTTGCATGTTGCCTAAGTCTGGGGCTTGAACTTTGGGCAGAGTCCTGCAAATCACTATTACAACAGGAGAAATGATCCACTTCAAGAAACAAGGGATTTGCATCCTCTTGACACCAATCATTGCCTTGTTCTTCATCTTCAAAGTAAGCTTCCTGAATATGAATATCATCTAAGTCCTGGTCTAGCTTGTCACTCAATTTAGAGTCTTGTTTGCTTACGTTAACCAGCGAAGCAGATAGCATATCTCCTGCTTGCTGGAGAGCTTCATAAACCCGAGATATCCAGGAAGAGAGAGGCTGGAAGAAGTTCTGAGCATCCTGAGACGCCATGGCCAAAATCATGGCCAGCTAACTGATGTCTACCAGTCCACTTGTTCAGCTCCTTCAGTACTCTGGACTTAATGTGAACTACAGAATAAGCATGATGATAAATTAAATTGGAGGTCTCTTAATGGCTGTGAATAGTTCACTCTCAAAACTTCTCAGCTGAAACAGAGGAAAGAGATACTTATACCTATTACAGTAACAACCTCAGACCCATTACCAGATAACTATAATCAATGTCAAACAACATTCAGGATAAAAAGAGATCACCATTGAAATCTGAAAGTAGCTAAATAAAAATTAGTCTCAATGTAGATCACTTCAATGCCTATTCACCTGCTCAGGCATGTGCAAAACTTCCATTGGCAGTAATGGGCTCTATTCATGTGGACTGAGAGAAGTCTATCCCCACAGACCATATTTAACAGTGTGAAAAGGATAAATGAATCTTCATTAAGAGGCAGTTGGATATGACATTTCAAAATACAAGGAAGGTTGGATGCTTCCTCTACAAACCTGCAGATCCCAGTGAGCAGGCTAATAATCATCTCTGCTTCATGACACAAACATTATCCTTTCAAAGGAAATGTGTGCCTGGAATTAAAAAGCTTTTAGCAGATCTTAAAGTAAGATTTTATATTTTTATGCAATTTCTACAAATCATATCTATTCTTGGGGAGCAAAGAACCACAGAAAAACAGAGCGGCAAATGGAATATGCAGCTTACTGGAGACATGACCCTAGCATCTCGTTGTCTTTGATTGTGTTCCAATCTCCTGATGGCAATCCTCCACAACCTAGAAGACTCCTGAGAGACCCTCCTTCTCCCAAGATTCACAACTTGAAGGAGGCAGCTATAGAGCAACAGAGCACAATGAAGATTCTAGAGCTGAATATCTATACTTTTATACATATACACGTATACAAATATAGACATATATGCATTTGCATTTGTATGTGTATTGTGTGTGAGTGTGAAGATCATATATATATATCTCTTATTGCCCTTACAATGTTCATCAACAGCTCAGGATGAATGCTATAAATGACCAGAGCCTAAATTCACTGCTTGCACTTAACTACCCCACCTCTTTATAGCAATAGCTTCCTTCTGACTCAGTCTACCAACACTCCTATATGTTTCAGCCTTCGTGTTCTCCAGCGACTGCAATTGATAGGACTGCCTACATTTTCCTAAAAATTTCTTCTTAGCTTTTTCAGGGGGCTTTTTAATAACCATTCATATATACGTTGATTCATCAATAAACAAATATTGATAAATGCCTATTAAGTGCTGGGCACAATGCCAGTGTAAGGCAACCCTGAGCTCTGTCCCCGCGGAGCCCACATCCAATTAAAGGGAAACTGAGGTCTCTGCACTTTCCCTTTATGCTATATAATTTACGTGGCTATCTTTCAGGCTCTTCCTTGTCTTCCCACCAACTGCATATATGCAACCACTCATTGTCCTATGGTTACTCCTCCTGCTCCTTCATACTCATCAGCTGGGACAGCTGACCCACCCATAAGTCTCAATACTTTTTTTAACTCCAAAATATATATCTCCAGCCCATAGTTCAATCCCTTTATATAACTTGGATTTCTGGTTATTTAAGCTAGTGGTTCAAAACTTTGTATGAAAATCATCTGGTAAGCTAACAAAACAAACAAACAAACAAACAAACAAACAAAAAAACCCAGAGGCTCAGGTGGGTTGAAGGAATATGACTGCATCTTTTCATTTTTGTCCAGTTCCTCAGATGACTCTGACACACACCAAAGTTTGAGAAGTACTGATCTAAGAAAATAGCTACACTTGAGTGTCTCACCAAAATCTCAAATTCAGCCATCAAAACTTAGCACATCACTTTTACTACTGCAAGTGTTCAACACTCAAGACTCACAATTGTGATTTTCTCTCTTCACCCTTGCCCCCTTCTATTCCTTCCATTCTAAGTTCTGCTATTTTTAGGGCTATGCAGACTCTTCTGTTGTGTTTTGTACTGTAATCACCTCTCCAACACTCTCATTTCCCCAGAAATTACATACTTAGCTGGTTCCCATCTCAAGTCTTCCCCAGCCTCAATCCATTCTCTAGGTTTGCTCATCAGAACCTGATCTTCTAGTAGGTTTATTGCCTATCTCCTTCCCTAGAATAGACGTTCCGGGAGGGCAGGAATTCTATGTTTTATTCTCAAGCTTATCCACAGTGCCTAGAAGTATGCTAAATATCTACTCAATTCTCAATAAGTGAATTAATGAGTGCTATTTAATATTGTGCATAGAATAGTGTCTAGCATATAGTATGTACTCAAATTCGCTAAATTGATAAATAGACCTCAGAATTGTTAAAAGACATCTTAACATGACCGCATAAAGCCCCTGTTTAGTAATATTAAAGTGTTCTTTCAGCATTTCTTCCACTCCATTTCATCACCCATGGATTTTTTGTTGTTGTTCGTTTTTTTCTCCACAAATACTGTGCCTAAAATGTGCTTCAGAAGATTGCAGACCTAGAAAGTTCCCTGAGAAATCCTTGGTTTTAGCTTCTACCACTGTCCTTTTGGTACTTGAAACTTTTTAAGACAGAAATTGCATATCTTCCTTAATAATCCTTTCTATTGTTTTATTATAATAAATAATATAATAAATAATAAATAAATAAATACAGAGATAATAAATAATACAGAGAAAATTTTGTTTCCATATGCAATCTAAAACCCTTTAATTTAAGCCAGCATTTTCTTTTCCAAACTTTGAACTAGTAAAAGGTCATGTCCTTGGTCTCATTATTTCTTTCTTCATGATCTCTGTCCATCAAAGCCTCATGGCAATTTTTCTAAAAAATAAAGCTTACATCACTCCCCTAGCTTAAAAAGAAAATAAAAAAAGAATACCCACTATGGTTTTCCTATTACTTATACTGCAGAATTTGAGCACTGGCAGTCCATCTGTCAAAATCACGATTCACTTATGTTTACTGACACAGAATTTTTAAAAAATTAATTTTGATGCCTCCAATTCACTACAATCCTCATCTCTCTCTGTTTTAAGTACCCACTTGCTTCATTCATTTCTGTGCACTCTACCTGACAGCTGGAAGCATCTGAATTTTCAAGCCCTACATTATATGATAAAGTTCACATTCTTTACTATGGCATGCAAGAGGAGAGATGCTCAGAAAATGAACAATCAGCACTGCCTGACCTTAGTGCTGGAGTGGTCCTAGAGGCCTCCTTCAAGCTGCCAACTCTTTAACTGCTGAATCACTGGGTGTGAGGACTTCTGGGAGATGCAACAGGACAATAGAGGGGAGGGGGTCTCAGATCAGTGGCTATTTATCAACCAATTTGGAACTATTTCAACATTCTCACAACTCACAGAGCCTTGTCCTGACAGAATGTCTAGCTCTGTATGAGCTGTTCCCAATAATACTGCCCCACAGTGACAACTTGGCTATTCTTTATCACCTCTCATTGTAAAGTGAGTGCCTGTCACACTCACTAACACACCAAGCATTTTTCATAACAAATATGCTCATCCCTGACTTCTCTCTGCTCTGCCCAGATGCCTTCTCTCCCTACCTGCCTGGTAGATACTTAAAAGTTCTTTACAATGACACTCCTATTGCCTATGTCAACTCTTCTACAGTCAAAGGTGTGGCCTCAGAGAGGCTTTAAATGTGCCTTTATAAGTTTTCTTCTCCTTTTTTAATTTAAATTCAATTAGCCAATGTATAGTACATCATTAGTTTTTGGTATAATGTTCAATGATTCATTAGTTGTGAATAACATGCGGTGCTCTAAGATATAAGTTTTCACTGGCCATGGTAATTATTTGTCAATCCTCCTCTTCCAATGGACAGTGTTTAGACTTAATAACTCTAGGACCCACATGGGATAAGGACCCTATCTAATGTTTGTTGAATGAATGAATGAATGAATGAATGAAAGTTACTAATGAACATTTTCTAAGCTAAGTAGCTCTGATCCCTTCATTTTTCTTTATCTGTAAAGTGGAGTTAACTCACTAGATGACCCCTAATAATTTCTTTCTGCTTTAAAACCCAAGAATTTACCAGTCTTGGGCAAAAAGTGTGTAATACTGAGGCTGGATATATTCAATATAAATAAAAGATTAAAAAGATAAACCAATCTTTTCAGATTGGTTCTGTACTTTTGTCAATAACCATTTCATGGACCAACTGGAGATGATTATGGAGTGATTGGAAAGAGGTCAAATATCAGTCTATATATGAAACAATGTCCAATTGCTATATTCCAAAATACTAAAAAAAGAAGGGCAACCTAAAGCAGGAACCAGAAAAATTACTTAGTTTGCAACAGTGGAGACCTTTTATTTTAAACTAAAGCAGTCTGAAGCCAAAAGAGCTAAGTACTGACAGAATACCAGCCAGATAATTTTGTTGCTTAGATAAATTTCAACTTGCTTGGTAGAATACCCCAAAGGTAATAGCAGATATATATCTGGTATCCTAGTTCTTCAGGAACTTTCTTACAGCTGAAAAGACAAAGTAGCTTCTGGTATTATAACAATAATTTTTTTAAAACATATAGGAAAAGAAAAATAGTAATGAAAAGATAGCACAGGTCCTTGGATTAGAAGGAAAAATACATGTAAGGTCTGTGGTAGCTGAGAAGGCTCACTATTTGAAATGAAAGTTCATGATATTTCATTATTATAAGAAGTACAAAAAAAAAAGCAAAAGATAGGTTTGTGTATGTTTGACATAAGAGTTCCTACCATAAACATAACCGAGGAAAGTTTACAACCTCTCAAATTACTGAGAATAAACTAGCAATCTAATAAAGAATTAGTAACCACTAAGTCACAGGGGTAAGTGATGCAGCATAAGGAATATAGTCAATAATATTGTAAGAGTATCAGGGTGACAGATGGTAGCTACACTTAGGTCTGAGGACAACATAACATAGAGAGAAGTTGAAACACTATGTTACACACCTGAAACTAAATAACACTGTGTGTCAACTATATTC